TGAGTAGTGAATTTGATTTTCTAGTTTATCAGTTTTTGTTTTTAAAATCAGCTCTTCATTTAACTGATCTTTTGTTTAGTTTTTAAAATTCTGTTTTGTATGTTTTTCCTCTAATATTTATAATTTGTTTCCTCCTACTTCTAATTTGTGGTTTAGTTTATCATTGTTTATCTTGGTCCTTGAGAGGATTTTTAGATTATATAATTGAAACCTTTCCAATTTCTTGATACAGGCATTCATCGTTGTATAATTTGCTCTTAACACTATTTTGCTGTATCCCACAAATTTTGATACATTATGTTTTCATTTTTGTTCATTTCAAACAATAGTTTTTATTTCTTTTTTATTTATTTTATGGTCCATTGTTAATTCAGGAGAATGTTGTTCAGTCTATGTTTATATCATTTCTAAAGTTTCTTTTGTTGTTTAATTGTAATTTCATTCCATTGTATCCAGAAAAAAGAACACGGCATATTTCAATTCTTTTTGAATTTGTAGAGACATGTTTTATGATCTAGTATATGGTCTATCCTAGAGAACATTCCATGTTCTATGAAAACAATATGTATTGTACAGCTATAGTATGGAACTTTCTGTAGATGTCTATGATGTCAATTTGGTCTATAGTGCAGATTAGATCTTTTGTTCCTTGTTGATTTTTCTTTTTTGTCTGACTGACCTGTCCATTGATGAGAGTGGGGGGGTTAAAGTCCCCAGAATTATTATATTGGAATTTATATTTATTTCCCTTTCGATTTATTAACTTTTCGTTTCATAAAACCAAATGCCCTAGTGTTTGGTAGATATATTTACATATTATTTTGAATGGGTTTCTAATCACTACATAGTGATCATCATTGTCTTTTTTAACAGTTATTGTCTTGAAGTGTACTGTGTATGTTATGAATAGTTATTCCTGATGGATTTTGATTTACGTTTGCATAGAGTATATTTTTCCATCCTTTGCTTTCAGTCTATGTGTATCTTTATTAAGGGCGTACGTTTCTTCTAGCAGCTTAAAGATAGGTCTTACAGTGCGTCTGGATCTTTAATAGGGGAATCAGCTCATTTATGTTCAAGGCTACTATTGATGAATAATTACTTGGTCTTCCCATTCTTCCATAAAGATTGCTATGGTTTCGTTTGGACCCCTTTTATTCTTTTTCTCAGGAGTTTTCTTCCTTTACATTCTTTCATGATGATTGTTGCCTTTCTCAGTTTCTGTAAAGAGTACAATCTTAAGTATTATTTGTTAGACTAGGTGAGTGGTGACAAATTCTTTAAATTTTTGCTGATCTTGGAAAGTCTTTATTTCCCCTTGATTTATGAATGAGAACTTTGAACTTCCCCATCCCCCACACACCCAATCCCCAGTTTCCAAGTCAGCCACTGGAGTTGTGATATCAGTGCTGGTTCTAGGAGCTGGCTGGGCATATTGACTTCTAGTCACTGCCCATAGTCAGAGCCCCGAGGGTTGCACTAATGCTGAGTGGAGGTTGTGGAACCCACAGATCCTGTCCAAGGGAATAGCTGTATATATGTATATTTTAAACTTTTTTATTATTTGACACATAGAGTTAGACAGTGAGAGAGAGAGACAGAAAGGTCTT